TGTGATAAGCTAGGATCTGTACTCAGCAGCTTCCCATACCCTTCGGGGTGAAAATCCGAAGTAAGCCTTTAAGTACGGACTCTGGCTGATTGAGAGAAGCGCGGTCTATTCTTCAATAGTGGGGGACGAAAAGAAAACTTGTATCTTTCATAATTGTCCCTGTTGATTTCTCCACACGCGCTGAGAAATCCAAGAAGTTAGGAATAAGTGTGGTCGGAATTTTTAATTTTCTTTATAATAAGGCGCGCACGACTGTTTTTGAAATTTCTTGCGCGGCCTATAAACCTGCTTCCTGCTCCACATCTACACACCATCTTCCCTTCTTGCTGCGCGCTCCTTCATGCATGCCTCTTCGTCGTCCCCCAATGTTACTTCGGATCCTGTCCTTACCTATAAACTCGAGCGATTGGTTGTCTAGTATTTGGGATGGTGGGAACAATGTGGTGAAAGCGAAGTATGTGCATCACTTAAACGACACGAAACTATTGGCTCACCTCTTTCGATCCTCATAGAATCCCTGCCTTTTATCTGTCCTGCTTATCTACACCCCTTGCTACCTGCACCACAAACTGACACTCCACCGCCTTCCGCGCTATAAATTCTCGCAGTCCCTTCCTCTCCCCCTCTTTGATCTCAGTTGCAATGCTGTGCGAGCTATGCGCGAAGTCTGCGACGACGAACAGGCTTGATGTGCCCAGTGACGGGCGGAGCGACGACGTGGGGTGGAATTAGTGGTAGACTTGAGGTAACGCAGTCAGAGTAGTGGAGCGGTGGTGGAGATTGAACGTCGCTAGCAGCAAGGCCTTGTGGCTATGGTTGGTTGATGTTCGGACTGGTTGGGAGTTGCGCCTGAGGGAGGCCAGCCTTGTGTGAATTTTGAATAGCGAGGGACTCACTTCTATCTCTATTGCTGCTTTTCCAAGTGTGGTGTGTGCAGTGTCCCAAGGTATGGGTACTGAGTTGTATGCATGATGATTGGTATGAGATTCTATGGATGTTAAATGTCTAGCTGTCCAAGATAGATGGATGTGTGGGCGCTCACAAACACAACTATGGGGAGCAGTGGTTGTCGACCGTCTGCATGAATGCATGAGTGTGTTAGAATTCCCTTCCTTACCCGACCTTTGTCGATCCCTGTGCGGGGATCGTCACTAACTCTTCCCCTCCTCTCCTCACGAGCGCAGGTAGTACGTGTCAGTTGGATTGTGGTTTCTTCACGACTAGGGGCGGACAACCGGGGACATCAGTCGCACACGTTTCCCCGTAGCGGTTGATATCTCCATGACTCGACCCCAATCATCTTTGTCCTAACAACTAGTTGGTAATCACGACGCTATATCCCTGAGCCTGCACTCTGACTGAGACGGAGAGGGTGGGGTAGGTTCCTTGATCGCAGACGACGATAACGTGTACTGCGATGCGGATGTACGAAACACCCTGCGACGAACCGATCAGGTTCATCTGTACAACCCAACTAGGGCCTGCCACGTAGGGGGAAGCGGGTTTGTTTTGATTGGTCGTTTTTCCTCCTCTCCCCCGATCCTGCCTTACACCGATCTGACGATGTTACCTTGGTCAGCAGCCCACGCCACGTGGCGGCCTCAGTTTAATAGTCGCTGGTGTCGGCAGGGGGTTCGTGTTCCTGGTAAAGACTAGTCCTGGGATACGAAGGTGTGGGCAGATTCCCAGAGCTCTCCCGGCTAACTTCTAGGCCTGGGTTCCCCTAGCCCAATCCAAATCAAATGACGACGCACCTGGCCGCCAACAGTAACTTGATGAATCCGACTTAGAGGACTGAAAGCTCCATGTTTCTGGGCTCCCGCCTCAGAGTTAGCGTGAACTTAGTGCGAAAGGAGCCAAATCCTGCTCTTCCCTCTCGCTTTCCCCCTCCTTTTGGTTTCCAATTGTCAGTAGTCAACTTAGTAGCACGTCGATCTCTGCCTCCTGGGGCGAGCGGAAGTTTTTGAATCGGAATAGAGCATGTCACTTCGGCATAACCCCTCTAACTCCCTTGTATCTCCCTTTTGTCCTCAACGACAACCAGAACTCAAGAAAGGCCTCGGTACGAAACTAGAATCCCTTATTCCGTCCGAGTAAATCAACTCCACCGGCCAAAAATCCTCGGCCACGCCCCCAATTCCTCTGATCGGTGTTCGCCGGTACGGGACACCGTGTGGGGTGTGAGGTTGTGCACCACTGTCACCACATGCTTCATTCTATCCTTCAGCGATACCACCCTCGACCTCTTTTACATCAAAAGGAATCTGGCATTGTTTATGACCCAAATTCATGATCCGGTAGGGCCCTTGGAGGGGCGCATGGTCTTGTAGTACCCCACATGGAAGACATTGGACCTGTAGTACCAAACGACCGAACTTTGGGCGACCAAAACCGAAAAGGTTTTGGAGTGGGCGCTTTCTACCGATTATCCAATCCCCAAGGGGTCTGGTACATTCAGGCGTTCGGGTTCGGGCGTTCGGCCCGTCCCGAATGTCGGTTACCCTGTATCTATCTATCTATCTATCTATCTATATATATATCATAATATATGTATTTATATAAGGCTACCAGCCCGTATGTACGGAAGTTCATGGGCCGACCTCCATACGTACGGACGTTCGGCCCCAGACCAAAAATATTTTGAGGCCTAAAAACACGTTTTTGTTTCTGAATTGTTTTTTGTGAGTTCTCTATGATGTGGGGTACATGCCTATAAATTTTTAAGTTATTGCGAGAAGCCAAACAACAATTAAAAATCTTCAAAGACGGCGGTGTCAAAACCTGCTTGCCCGCTCACTATTCTGTTTTTTATCACTTTTTCCTTTTGGTTTTCAGTTTATTGCAGGGCCTAAACAATTTTATTATTTTTTGAAAAAAAATTAATTACATTTTGATAATGTTAAGTACACATCTATTAATTTTCAGGCAATTCAGCTATACAGTAGCAAAATGAAAAATCGAACAAGATGGCGGCGTAAAAAATGTGCTCGCTCACTCACCAATTTTAATTCTCATTTTATTTTTTCATATTTGAATCAGTGTCGGACACGTGAACATGAACGGGTCCGGCCACCTGAACGTGACCGGCCGTTCACCGGGTCCAATTCCCGTGAACGACTGTTCACGGGGGCCGTTCAAGGCCCTGGTGGCCACGTGGCAGCCCGGGTGGTCGGCGTCGAGGTGCGATCGGGGTCGCGCGGTGTCTCGCTAGGACCCCGTACCTTCAAATCAGAAAAAAAAAAAACAAAAAAAAAAAGGATATTTGTGTTTAAAAAAAATAAAATAAAAAAATATTTGGGGGTTGATTGATTGATTGATTGGTTGGTTGATTGATTGATTGATTGATTGATTGATTGATTGATTGATTGATTGATTGATTGGTTGGTGGGGGAGGGGTCCTCCCTCCACTCCCCGGCGCGCGCGCACACACCCCTCTCTCTCTCTCTCTCTCTCTCTCTCTCTCTCTCTCTCTCTCTCTCTCTCTCT